GAATATATATTACAAAGGTTCAAACCGGTAAGAAAGCTATGTCTCAAGGAATTGAGGTTATGCATTCAGGTGTTGAATGCAGGTGGTTCATCAAGTTTTTCGATCATATCTAAGGTGGCGTTTTGAAGATATAGTTATACTTTCAAGAAGCTAAGGTTAATGCTAGCTAAAGTCTTGAAAAGCCTTAAAGACAAATAGAGGTTTTCAAGGAGTTATGTGACCAACTGGAGTAGTCTACTAAGATTAATAAATGTGTGTCTCTCTCGCACAAAAGTACTTGTTTTGAGAGACAAACTTATCCTTTTGGTATTGGCTCGAGATATGAATTGATTAAAAATGACAAAAATATGGAATTTCTATGTAGATAAGAGTTGCAAACACTTTAGCTGATTTGGTAGCTGACTCATTGTCCACCTCAACATTGTTGTTAGCAGAGAGCTAAAGAGAGCCACAATCATCTACCAGTATAGAAGGAACACGCCTAGGGCCCAAAGGAGAGCCGACTCAAAGGGGGGGGTGACTCATCCTCGGATCAGAAAAAGGCCAATAAAGGACATGACACGTCAGAGGCTAGGGCAACGACTTGATAGCAAAAACATCTATTTATGTTTTGGCTTGTAGTCTCTTTTACTTTATCAAGAGATTTGATCAGTTTTGTGAGAGAGAGAAAGGAGAGTTAGGGACTCCCAAATATCCATACTTTTGTATTTTGTTTTGAACATTTTTGGAGTTATTCAAAGAAAGTTTGCATCTTTGTTGATTCTCTTAAGGGTTTTCTCAAAGACTACAAGAATACTCTTAACAATTGGTATCAGATTCATTTCGATCCAAGGGAAATGGACAGTTCTGTACCTCAGCTATCACCGATTGGAGAGGATTCTCAAGAAACATTGCAGATTGTCTTCAACGGCGGGTCTCCAACCTCAACCATGTTCTCCAAACTCCTACCTTTGATGGAGAAAATGGATCGTAAGCTCGACGAAGATGTGTAATAATGGAAACGAGAGAGACAGGAAAGAGACCCCTTTCTGCCTCTGCTCAACTCAGCTCCTCCCTGAGTGCCTCGGTCATCGACCACCGTAACGGCAAAGCTCTGATGTTCACACCGCCATACAAACTGGGTAAACCTTATCTTCCAAAATGGCCGTACACACATCTGTTCCCTGAGAGACCTCGCAAAACGGAACACTTGTCTGACAGGCCACCGGCGGGTCGCCAACCACCGCCAGAGCTTCATCACCATTCAAATCGTCATCTCCAACTT